GCACATCAGTCTTGCAACTGAGAGACAGTGGAAATGAATTTCCCCACACAAAAGCAAAAAAAAACCAGCCCTCCCAACTATTACATTGTCTTTTTTTTTTTTAGTGACAGATCTCCTTTCAGAGAACCTCATTTTTGCTTTACCGTTTTGACGTGAAGTTCAAGGTAAGGCAGCACAGTACACCTTGGTCTGGTACAAGATTGAATGCAATGCAGCATTTACAGATTTGTTGGAATTTAGCACTGCTTAGGGGAACATTTCACTTTAGCACCTACTACTAATTCTGAGAGACTGGTGGGACTACATGATCCTGCTCACCAGACAAGGCCATGTGCCTTGGAATTCCCAGACTTGTCCAAGGATGTATGACATTATTCCCTTGTATAAAACCTAGTGGATGACTCTTGCCCAAAATGCCCACAACTGAACCTTGGGCAATTTGCTATACAACATTCAGAACTCCGCCAGAACACTGGCACTAAGACATCAGAATCTTGATCGTAAAAGTGTCAACATGACTTTCTATAGCTAACCAACTGAGCTCTTCACAGGTCTTTCAACTAACCTTCAAACAGCAGAGGTAGGGAGGAAGGAACAGTTAATTAAGAAGTCTCTCTTAGAGAAAGAAGCAGAATGACGTTCAGTCTCCAAGACTCATGCCTGCGTTCTAGCCACTGGGGGCATCCTTCCTTTCTATGTTCCCTGTTGCTGAAAACTCTTGCCCTAGAAGAAAGTCTTTCCCTAGCAGTTAGTTTACTTGCCTTAAATTACACTGTTTTGAAATGTTATCGTCACACAAAAGAAAGCATTACGAAGCCACTCATAAATATATATATATTTATATATATAAAACTTCTGTACTTCTGTACTTCTCACTCTGAAAGTCTGTCTGCCTCACTGGGATACTGCCATAGGGGCACGCTATGATACAACATTGAATCCAGTGCTGAATGTCACTTACTCCCTCGGCAAGGACAACTGCAAATGCAAAAAAGGCCAACTGTATGTTGACATTTTTTATCCAATTCACACATTTATACACCTCATTTGCTGGACTCACTATTTGTACTCTTTCAAAATGAGATTGGAAAAGGGTTGTTTCATTTAGGGAAAAAGGAATTAAAAATGAGTGCAGCTGACTCAAGAAGAAAAAGCTGGGAAAAGAGCTTATTCTCAAAGTGTCAAGACTATTTCTCTGCTTTTAAACTTCTTATGATTTTCACATAAGATTAAGTCAAAACTCGTATTAACACTCTTGTCAAGTGATATATTTTATGGAAGCAAAAGTTACTTCATATCATGCTCACTAATGTTGCTCATGAAAACTAATTAAAAGCCATTTGGTCTCCTGGCAGGCCTATAATGGTATTGGAGAGATTAGTAAACTTGCAGGAGTGTTGAAATTCTGGCCTGGCCCATGAGAAACTAAAGTTCCAACAGTGTCTCTTTGCCAGAGGCAGGAAAATCTACACCAAAAACCTTTGAAGCTGAGCAAAAGCTTGAGTCTGTGTAAACCAAACTCCAATATCCAACCACCAGACTACCGTTTCCATCTCTATTTATTGAAATGCCTACTCTTCATGTTTTCCTGATACTGCCTTTTAGTTCTACTCAGATCAAGCTCAACTTCAAGATCTCAGAGGTAAATATAATTCCTTGGCATCTCTGTTTTATGCAATACTCCTTACGCAGAACTGTGTGTAAAAGTAACAGAACATAAGCACACAGTTGTATGCTAGGCACAGAAAGAAAATCCCAGAATATAATACTACATTTCATGAGCAGGGACCTAAACAGGGAACTAGAACATCAAATCAGGATGCAAAGAAGAAATGCTACTGAAGAGTCTGGCAGCTTAGCATTTAATTCCCATCTAATCAGCAGCCACCAGTAACAGTGAAACCCTATGTTCTTTCATCAGGCCCTAACTACAGTCAGCCCACAAAGCATAGAAAAATATATGAACATAATTCTCCCTGGTTTCAGTTTCCTAAGGACACCGATCATACAGTTCCAATACCATGCAATTGGAACTACATTGATGTATTTTTCCAATTTAACAATTCAGTAGTCTTTGGGGAATAGAAACACTACCTAAAATCCAAGATGTAGTGAAAATTCTTGTTGGAAACACAAACTGTATTTTAAATTATGTTGGGGGCTTGGGGGGTTTTGTTTGCTTGTATGTTTTGTTGTTATGGTTTTGTGGATTTGTTATGGTTTTGGTTTGATTTGGGTTTTTTTAATAGAAGAAATCTACTTTGGAGGTGAAGTTTTGAAAGGAAATAAACGGATACAGAAATAAAAAATAAATAAAAAGGTAAGCTTTCAATCATCCCTACAGTCCCTGCATCCCTTTAATGCTTTCCCCACCAACTGCTAGTTTTCTAAACCTGATTTCCTGTGATTTAGAAACTATGGTTTCCCACAGTAGGAAAAATATGAGGATTTCTTCTAATATAACACTGACTTCTGCTTGCTCTGCAAGCAACTTAGTATGGAGATAGAATAAAATCTATTAACTAGTTAAGGAACAAAATACCTTTATTTCCTCTAATCAGTGTGTATCTCCATTTGATAGACTATCACATTTTTATTGAAGATGGACTATGCTGTTTGTTTTTTAATAAAGATACAGCATAAAAAATTTAACTTTTAAAGAAATATCAATGCAGTCTCTTTTTCAACATAATTAAGAAGCTATTTAAGCCCCCATTTCAAGCAGGGCTAGATGATCTTCATTGGTCCCTTCCAACATTATCATTCTATAATGTAAGGGTTTCCAGTCTTTATTTTTAAATATGATTGCCCAATATTATACTCTACATAAAGCTAAACAAGTTTCTCTTTCATGCTAGAAAGTACTAAGAATTATTCTACACAAGTCAAACACCCAGTGGGTATGAAGAAAATAAAGGTACTTCCCACCCAAGGACTCACATTCTGGTGTGCTGGTGAACTAGAGCAATGTAAAAGATAGTACTGATAGCTGTCACACAAACAGGTGGAAGAAATGGAGCAACATCACCTGCCAGTCAAAAAAAAACCTTTACATAAACAGTTTTTGGAAAATGCTTCCTGTCATTGTAGACTCAGCTTTGCAGCTGAATTTAAAAGGATTTTATTTTTCACTTCAGATTAGTGAAGACTGTGTCCTCCGATGCCAGCCATGTACACATTCTCATCATGAGCTATCACAAACAATACAAACATCAGCCTGAACCATCAACTCAACCATTCTATAGGTTTCAGTTAACTGCACCTACCAAACAGTTTTAACAGAGAAGTTCAGCATCCCCAGTACCCCTTGAAGTGTGTGATATAACTTTAAAAGACAGTTTTTGTTTGAAAGCCAGTAAGAGAGTACAGTGGTTTCTATTTGGTGTCCTCAACATAAAAAGGACATGGAACTGTTGGAACAAGCCCAGAGAAGGGCCACGAGGATGATCAGGGGACTGGAGCACCTCCTGTATGAAGACAGGCTGAGAAAGTTGGGGCTGTTCAGCCTGGAGAAGAGAAGGCTGCATGGAGACCTCATAGCAGCCTTCCAGTATCTGAAGGGGGCCTATAGGGATGCTGAGGAGGGGCTCTTCATTAGGGACTGTAGTGACAGGACAAGGGGTAACAGATTAAAACTTAAACAGGGGAAGTTTAGGTTGGATATAAGAAGGAAATTCTTTCCTGTTAGGGTGGTGAGGCACTGGAATAGGTTGCCCAGGGAGGTTGTGAATGCTCCATCCCTGGCAATGTTCAAGGCCAAGTTGGACGAGGCCTTGGGTGATATGATTTAGCGTAAGGTGTCCCTGCCCACGGCAGGGGTTTTGGAACTAGATGATCTTAAGGTCCTTTCCAACCCTAACAATTCTATGATTCTATGATTTCAGTAAAATGAGAATTTAATTATTTCAAGAGAAAAAAAAAAAGAAACGGAGGCCATAGAAGAATTTGTGGGAAATGCCTTTTGCAGCAATGATCTTCCATACCTTCTAAATTCAGTCTGTCTGTTCCAGTATGATACTAAATATTTCATATCTCCAAAGAGTATGCTTTGGGAAGGTTTCAGAGTATTTTGATTCCTTCAAACGAAATGAGTCTTTTCATTAATTAAAAACAAAGAGGTCGAACTAAACTTATTGTCTAGTGACAAAGGTACCATATCTTAAAAATAGCTATTAGGATTCTGTGTCATTATCTAATTACATCAATACTCAGGCAAGTGGAAACAATGCCCTGAGGGAATAATAAAATTGCCTGAAAAACTCATTTATCTAAGATAGTAAGAAATATGTGTATTAATGGATTTAGTCATCAGGATTAAACATTAATCCAGTGTTTCACCAGGGTATTAAAAAAAAAAACCTTGAGTTTGCATTTGCACCCAAATAACATTTATCCTATTTAACATGGTATTGGGTCACACTTCCTCTTCACATCTATAAAGAAAATCACATTTATTGCTAGAAATTTATTTATGAAAATGTAACCCTCTCTTTTCCTACTCAGGTCAATCTACTTCTTGTGAAAACTTACACCTTCCAAAGTATTTCTTGTCTCATTAAAAGGCAATGCACACCTAGCAGTCACAGCAACCCCTCTTTTTCCCCAACCACTCTTGGGGTTGTTTCACAGATTTCTTCCTATCCTTCAGCTGATTAAAGAAATGTTCTGATAGCACTCTACTGGGAGAAAAAACACTCACCAGCCCTCTGTAGAAAAAAAATGTCATTATCTGGAAAGTAATGAACAAGCAGGAGACCAGTTCTTCAGCCTCAAGATCAAGTGATCTTTAAAAAGGAAGCCAGAGCTCCAGTCCATGTACTCAGGATGTTACTGTTTTGATTATTATACACATACAACTTACTCCCTGGCCATTGCTGCTTATTAGTAAAAATCAGGTGACATTTATCTTGCCCCCTGACCACATTCACAGTAATATGATAAAAGTCCAAATGAGAAAGAAACAATTGACCCTCATCTCTATGCAATAATTCATTACTCACTGATCTAAAGAGATGAAGACTGATTTTCAACTCCCTCTGCAGTTCACAGGAAGCATGCCTTCTCCTGTGCTAGACAAAGAAAGAACAGAATTACAAACTGCATTTTTCCAACTATTTTTGACATAATGACCCAAATCAGGTACAACAGGTATAACATTAGACTGAGCTTTTATGGAAATAAGCTGCTACGTACAGGACCTACCATTGAGCTCCCAGAAAAAATGAAGGAAGCAAAGATCTTCACTTTAGGGTGGATCCTGGCATGAATAGTTAAAAAAGAAAGGTAAATTTCCTAGAAATAACTAGATTTCAAGTCAGAAAAAGTCAAGATGCAGAAAAAAAACAACAGGCCCGGAACGCTTTAGGTTATCACTTGAATGGTAATGAAGGAAAGGCTTGTCTTGTTCCTACCTAAGCACCAAAAAAACATATAATTTTGATGTCTGATCCCTTTTTCATGTAGAACTGCAGAACCAGTAATATCACAGACTAACCTCTGACTATTTCATAATAGGCAGAAAGTCCAGAGAAAATTCACTGTAGTAAGACTGATGTTCCTCATCTTTCAAGTTTGCAATACTTCTCCACAGACAGGAAAAAAACAACTTGAAAAATCAGCTGCCAGAGCACTGAACACACCACTGTTCCCCACATCCAAAGGCCTTCATCTTGGGAAGGCTCATCCAGCAGAATATTTCACTAAGGTCCTCACAGACTCAGGAATTTATGTGCCAGTACTTCCACTATCAATTTCCATTAGCTAAAGAGATAATAAAAAGATAAACACTCTATGATTCCCTAAGGCAGAAGAAAAACTTAAATCAATACTTATGTCTCTGAAAGCGTCATCATTTCCATGGAGAATCGGCTGCTGGTGGTCATCAGGTTCTCACCACTGCTGTTCAGCAAATAGTTCATTACCTAGTAATAGGGCAGAGAACAGACAAGAAGCATACTTCCTCGTGACTTCCAATCCCCATTTACAAACAAACATACACCAAATGTTGCACTATCAGGTTTCTCTACAATTCATTAATGGCCATTCTCTTAATCAAGTAAAGTATTCTGCAGTCAGGCAGCAAATTCTTAAACAGAGAGCTTGTCCAGCTTTCCTTAGAAGCCTTTACTTTTATCTCTGAGCAGAAGCCACAAGTGCTTTTAGTTGTTGTTGTTAAGATATAGGAAGTAACCAGTTGCTATTCCCAATGCTTTTCCCTTAACAGCAAGGCAAGTGTTATTTCTTACATAGCTATTATTATGCCTGCACTCAGGGATACTCACCAGTACATTACAGAACCTTGTTTATTGTTCTCAGTTTTTCCACAGGCTCTTCCCTGCCACATCAGTTTACAAAGAGAGAGGAGCTGAAGTCATGTCCTTGGCCACCAGATTCCATGCAATACCACCTTTTACAGTCATAATCAAAAGTCATCCTATTTTCATAGGAATCAAACAGCTGCAAGAGAACAGACATATATGCCTTTACCTATAACAATTTGGCAACAAGCACATTAAACGTATTTAAATATAATTTCAAAGGTTTCATACCATGAAGTACAAGTGTATTTGGACACCTTGTACAGAAGCTATTTTCAAATGACAACTCAATCACATGTTGAAATTTGGAATAGGAACTCCACAAAAGTGCTGATGAGAAAGGGCCAAGTACAGCTTCATCATATTCATAAGTTTAATTCAATGTTTGTGGCAAATGCAAGTTTTTCAACCGATATGTGTTTTCATATTGGAAGAAGTCTACTTTTCGGTATACTGTGTCATGCTTCCTTTGGATGCAATGCTTCAATTCTGATTTTGTCTGTTTCACAGAATCTACTTCTCTATTTCAAATATTTCCCTTTAATGGGGATTAAATAATGATTCAAATGAAAAAGAAGATGACTACAATGGACTGCCACGTATACCCAACATATCCTCACATTCAGAATCACTAAGTAATGGCGGTGATTATTCTGACCTTGTAATTCAACTTAGCAAGGATGCTAACAGAACAAAAAGGCTTGGCAACTTATCCTTCTAGATAACTTGATATTTTGGAACAATGATTTAGTGCTTATTTACATGTTCTCTAATCAAATATAGTAGACAGAACTACACCAGTGTTAGTTCTTCTGGCTTTTTTTCACAACTGTTGACTGAATCAAGTGGTGGTGGTAAAACAGCACAGTACTGGCCACATTTGGCATAGTTTTATTGAAGACCATAAACCAAATAGGTCTGACCAATTTAGTCAGTGGGCCTCTATTGCAGGCATTGATGAAACCTAGTCCAAAAATATGTATGCCTTCAGCTTACCGCAGGAATGAACACAACACACTGTAAAGAAAACAGGAATTTACTACCACCTCTGTCGTGGTTTAAACCCAGTCAGGTAACTCATTCACTCACTCCCCCCCCTTCTTTCCCTCCCCCTACTCCCAGAGCGACGGAGAGGAGAATCAAAAAGAATGCAACTCCCACGGGTTGAGATAAGAACAGTTCAGTAACTAAGGTATAACACAAATCACTACTGCTACCACCAATAATAACAATGATAAAGGAAATAACAAGGGAAGAGAATACATCACCTCACCACCAGCCAACCGATAACTCACCCCCCCCAGCCCGACCAAGCTCTGACCGATACCTCCTCCAACCCTGCAGTCTCCCAGCCCTTCCGGCTAACTCCCAGTTACCTCCTGGGCATGACGTGCTGTGGTATGGAATACCTCTTTGGTCAGTTTGGGTCAGGTGTCCTGTCTCTGCTTCCTCCTGGCTTCCCCTCCTCCCTGGCAGAGCATGAGGCTCACAAAGTCCTTGTCCAAACCAAAACATCCTTGTTATCAGCTCTGTTCCTGAGGCGAAAGTCAAAACACTGCACCAGCTACCAAGAAGGAGAAAAATGACTGCTACTGCTGAACCCAGGACAACCTCCTGAGCATCACATCACACTATGATTATACAGCAAATTTCAAGCAGTCACATTGCAGAGTCTGTTTTCAATGTCACTACCTATAGAAAGCCCTACATTTGATATTGTATAATTTCGCAAGACGTCTCCACATTAGTGAGCAACGAGATCTCAGAAGGAAATGTTCAAGGGATTTTTCCAGTTGGGGAAACATTAATACATACTCACAGGCTGTCACTTATTTTCTGCACAGCTTCAATGCTTCTATACATGACAACTAAACCATTTTTGTGTTTAAAATTAGTAACATGCACAAGTATCTGTCTGGATCAGACCAAAAATATGGGCAGCACAGTGACCCTGTTAAATGGTTTAACACACACATTCACAAAAGCCACCAAGGCCTTTGGGAAAGTTGCAGGGCTCCCAAGTTACTGTTATTGCAGCTGCCATCACATTTTTTATTTTACAGAAGATACACTGACATCAATTATATCATTTAGTCAGTTTATGTGATTACTTAACTCCACACATTTAACACTCTGCTGGCATATTCAAATGGCTAAGATAATTTTACTCCTAAAAAAATAAGTAAAAAAATGTTGATGGCGTCCAGTTCAACATAAACCCATCATCTTCCTCTCCAGAGATACTTCTACATCAATGACAAATAATGAGTTTTATTATATCCTAGGTCACTGGTTTTGTGCTCTAGGGTGATGTTCATGAGCTGCTTTTAAAAGGACCATCAAAGACAAGAAAATCTTATTTCTACTAGAATTTTATGTACAAACCCATAGGATAGAATTTTGAAATAAATGCAAGAACGGTCAAGCAGACAATAAATGCAATGCTCTGCACACCACCTTGATCTAAGTTGGTATAACACTAAAACATATAGTTTTACTGCTGAAGGAAAACATCTTCAGAAATGGAAGACCACATTCTCATTTGCACAATTTTCCATTTGTAATACAGCCGTGTTCTGCAATTCATATGTTTTGAACACTTTCCCATAGCTGTATCTTCATCAGAGTCAAACATGACCTTCTAAATATGCTCTAACTCTTCAAACATTATTCAGAAACAACTCAATTTAAATCAGCAGAGCTGTCTGCAGATCAACATGCAGCTGAGCTGGATAAAAGAAACAGGTCTTTGCATATCTAATTGTTTAGTACCTCATAGCTTAGAATGAAAATAGGATAGAGGCTCATGTATGAATTATTCCTTCCAACAGGAAAAGAACTAAAAGAACACACACACGCTTGCTTCATTCTTTCTTTCCTTTTCTCTTTCTTCCTTACTTTCTTTCTTCCTTCCTTACTTTCTTCCTTCTGCTAAGAACACTATAATTTCAAGGAATGCATTATTGTTTCCTTTTCACGTTTCTCCTCTGCATGTAGAAAGATGCAGTACAGATGGACTAAACATGAAAAAACTTGAGCCACTGAACTCAAGCAATCTATAAATTCTTGTGGAAACTAAAATCATAGAATCATAGCATAGTTAGGGTTGGAAAGGACCTTAAGATCATCTAGTTCCAAAACCCCCTTACCATCTCACTCAAGGCTTCATACAACCTGATCTTGAACACTGCCAGGGATGGAGCATTCCTCCCTGGGCAACCCATTCCAGTGCCTCACCACCCTAACAGGAAAGAATTTCCTCTTTATATCCAATCTAAACTTCCCCTGTTTAAGTTTTAACCCGTTACCCCTTGTCCTGTCACTACATTCCCTAATGGAGAGTCCCTCCTCAGCATCCCTATAGGCCCCCTTCAGATACTGGAAGGCTGCTATGAGGTCTCCACGCAGCCTTCTCTTCTCCAGGCTGAACAGCCCCAACTTTCTCAGCCTGTCTTCATACGGGAGGTGCTCCAGTCCCCTGATCATCCTCGTGGCCCTTCTCTGGGCTTGTTCCAACAGTTCCATGTCCTTTTTATGTTGAGGACACCAGAACTGCACACAATACTCCAGGTGAGGTCTCACAAGAGCAGAGCAGAGAGGCAGGATCACCTCCTTTGACCTGCTGGTCACACTACTTTTGATGCAGCCCAGGATACAGTTGGCTTTCTGGGCTGCTGCCTGCTCATGTTCATTTTCTCATTGACCAGCACCCCTAAGTCGTTCTCCACAGGGCTGCTCTGAATCTGTTCTTTGCCCAACCTGTAGCTATGCCTGGATTGCTCCAACCCAGGTGTAGGACCTTGCACTTGTCATGGTTAAACTTCATGAGGTTGGCATCAGCCCACCTCACAAGTGTGTCAAGGTCCCTCTGGATGGCATTCCTAAAAAATCATTAATTACTTCAAAGGCTTCCTTTTCCCTCTACCCCTTCGTATTACAAATTGAGAATAACACAGAGCTTGCTCTCATAAATGACAACATGTCAAAAATCCTAAAGAAAGACTGGTCAAAAGACAGCCCAAAACTCTAATTCAGCTTATAGTTAAGAAAATTATACAACCCGACTTCCAGAAGGAGGAAGCAGAATTGATTCACACACTTCCCAAAAGTTAGGGAGTGAGATACAAAATCTAGAAGCATGTCTAAAGATTTTGCAAAACCATTTGCAATGCAAGGATTTACTGCTATTACACATTCTACCAAAGCTCACCAGTTCAGAAATTTATTAGAAACTGAAAAACTTGTTGGACAACAAAAAGAAAACACAGTTTCAGTAAGGAGGAAATCGCTATAAAAATAGCTTATAAAGGATCATATTTTAATGAAACAATGAATTTAGTCTTTTCTTAGACTTTACATAAGCAAAATTGAAAGTTCAGATGAGACACAGGCAGTGAGTTCTCCCACATGAAGAAGGCACAACCCAACCTAGGTGCAATGTCAGTGCACATTGCCCAGGGAGGACTCACAAGCCTGTAAATTGTTTTTAATCACTGCTAAATTAATTTGTTGGAATTCTGCAACTATTTTACTTACACACATACACCCCCTTCCAAGTTCATTGATGCAGAGCAGCTTCTGCAGGCTGAGCAGCTGAGAGTCAGAGGAAGAGAAACAATGACCTGAAGTTTTTCTTATTTTGTTTCAAATGACACACTGAGGGTGTGGAGTGGGTTAAATGTATCAATATCATGAAGAGCAATAGTCTGCCAATCTGATTAAAAGCATTAGTTTTGGATTTGAAGCCTTGCAAAAGGCTATAACTTACACAGTAAGAAAACTGACAAAATACTTCTATTTGGTTCTTACAAGATAATGGAAGCAGTAATTTGTTTACCAAGATACATACAGTGTTGCAACTCCTGCACCAAGAAGTAGTTTGTTTCCAGGACTTAAATTTCACTACCTGGCAAAGAAAAAGAGATGTGGAGGCTTCTCCAGTACATATCCTCTACCTTTAAAAAAAAACAAAAATGCAAGGTTGTTTATTCTTAGGTATACACACATAAAATGGTTTCAGATTCTATTTGCTCTATTCTGTTTCACCCTTATCTCTCCCATCTCTCAGAAATTTCTGCCCAAACACCAACATGAAGCAAGGAACTGTCTAGTCAACCAACGTAGGCCACGTGATAAAGCAGAAAGAAAAACAGTTTTCCTGCTATTTGCTATGGCTGCTCCATTTCTACCTGTCTAGACACCATTCCAAATACACCCATATAATCCATACCCTGCTCCCATCCCCCCAGGAAAAATCAATAACACCTCCAATATCCCATACAACAAGAAAATAACGAAACATTCTTGAAAATCTCTGAAAGCACCGGTGTGCGTTGCAAGGCTATCTCTGAATCCATGCAGAAATACCTAAATTTTGACACTTAAAAATTTGTTTTCATTGCATACAAGTGGTCTGGTCAATGACTAAACTTCAAGGTCATCATAGTATTGAGTTATCCTCTTGATGGCTCCTAATTCAAAGACAAGCAGAATTACACAAGGAGCTTGTAATCAAGAGCTGCATTACATGGGATGATGATGATCATTTCATCCACTATTGCACTTTTCCTAAAGTGCAGGACTGGAAATAAAAAAGAAAAAGCCATTTTCCCAGTTCTGTTCCATCTTATATAGATTGTAATCACCAATCAGAAAGATGCACCTTTTACCATTTCTTTTTCTCAATACTATTCTGAATAATCAGTAGACATTGTCAACTGCTAAATGCTCCTGAAGGCATAACTGAGGACAGGAAAAATAATCTTGATTAACTGCATGGTCGCATCTGTCTCCCCCAGACATCCAAAGCAGGCAATTCTGTCATGCAATGTGATAAGCAGCATCTTGTAAAAGAAAATAAAAGAAAAAAAAATCAAAAAATACCAACAAACAAAAAATAGAATATTATCTAATTGGACACAAGCTTTCATCCGTCAAATGTGGAGACAGTTGAGAAAGAGTCAAGACTTGAAGTTAATTTGTCCATTCCTTTCGTAGTGTGAGAGACAATCACAAACTATCTACATCATTATAAAAGTATGAAATATAGCAGACAACAGCTTATTGGTTTAAGAGTAGGTAAAATAAATAACAATAGCAGCTTAATTCCTAGTTCCACAGTTACCATTGCCCCTTATTTTCCCTTCTCATGACTTTTATAAGATGCTTCATTTAGAAAAGATTACATCTAAGCCAGCTCTCTTCCCACTATCAAGCAGGAAGGAAAAGAGCACAGTCGCTGCATTAGCATCTACCAAGTTCCTGCAGGCAGCTTCAGGTAGAACAGATTAAAGGCAAACACTTGCACAAAGATTTGTCAGCAAGAAGTTCTTAAACAACATGAATTAAAATGACTGCTTGGTAGATGGGATAGCAGTCTTAAACCCAAAAACCACAAATCTGAGACATCACCCAGTTATGAAATATTTATCCCTGCTACACCTCGGTGAAGTTACCCATCACTGAAAATGGTCCCAGCTATCCATCAGCCAGATTCTTGCACTTCAAAAGCAACTTGCTGATCATCAAATGACTTCTTGCCGCCTGTCCGGCAGACCCTGGAACATCCCGCACAGCAACACACCAGCTTTCCTCCTTTTGCTGAAGAGGCTGGGGATGTTCAAAAAGCAGGATTACCAGAAACTTCCCCCTGATCACTTCCTCTTCCCAATCACATTCCTTCCAAAAAATTGTCACTGAAACAACCAATCAGCCGTTCCACAGAGTTCTCATTTTCCTGCAGAGATTTGAGTTTTTCAGTCATTCTTCTCACCAAGTCAACTCTAACATAACATTTTAACTCTGAACTCAGCACTTGGCTTCAATTTAAAACAGTGATTGATCCTAAAAATGTCACAATGCAAAAACATGAATTTACAAAACAAATGGTTTCAAATTGTGATGAGATTCAGACTTTAAAAAAGTTTAATTTCTCACAAGAGCACATCTTTCCAGACCACGCAACTTCAGTGGCTTCAGTGCTGTTCTAACTATCTCAAGGAAGCCTGAATAAACTCTGGAAACCCTTGACTGTTCCATAAGCACTAACTTAATTCTTAAGATATTCTCAAATAAAAGTATGAAAACAAGGATGATGAGAAGGTTAAACTCATGCAGTGTCACAGAAAAGCCTCTGTGAAGATGAAAAGTTCAGAGAAATACCTGCTTGCTCTCCATCTCTTTCTCCAGATCAGCTTTTCAGAAAGCAGTCTGCATACCCCTAGGAAACACTGCACTACACTGTCAATGTCACCACTGAGTTCATATGAGAAATTCACTTTTGAACAGGATATCCCAGTGATCCCCACTTTTTATGCCTTGATTTAATTCTTAAAGTGGTTGTAGAGCACATGAGCTCATTTCCTCTCAGGTGAATTTAAACCAGAGGTGCAACAACTGCTTATGGGTGCTCAGTCCACAGGATCAGACTAGAATAGTCTCAGGTGAACTCACTACACATGCAGCACAGGTATTGGACCCTCTCCACCAAATGTTTGCCTTCAAGATCACCTGAAAATGAGCTCCAGTACTCCCCAACATATACACAGGCAGTAAGGGTTCCTCCAGAGGCAAGATACCTGTTAGCGCTCAACCACCAACATAAATGAAATTTTTGAAATGCTCTCACTGGAGAATTTCATTCTTCCTAGTTCTATAAATCAATAAGGTCAAACCCAACTGCCCTGGATAGTTATTACAAAGAATAGCTATTCATATATATATTTTTTGAGAAGCAGAAAACTGCACTTGTTCTTTTTGCCTCTCTGCCAGAGGCAAAAAATAAGGTTAACTTCACAGTCCTGCTCCAAAAGCCACTCTGAATTCTTTGCAAGCTCTGCATCCCTCACCAGTGAGCATAGCATAAGCACAATAGTTTGTGCTTATTTTTTCAAGGCAAATGAAATACAACACTGCAAAGGGAAACATATTTAAGAAACTTACAGTAGTAGAAATTGAAGGGTATCTGCAAGTCCACAGAGAAAGTGCTGAAAGTGCAATTTTCATTTTGACTGTCCTACATAAATGATTAATCTTATGTCAACTATAGTAATTGCTGCTCAGCTTCTCACATCATCACAGCTGCAGGAGAACAAATTCAGAATTAAATATTTACATGAAACAATCAAAACCTGCTTTAGATTGCTATACCTACCAGCTACTAATTCAATCACATTTGATTCAATCACCTTGAACTAAACTTAAAGCTTTCAGCCATTCCGTACTCACATGTATTCTCAAAATATGACAACCTTGCACTTTTAAAATTTTATCATACCAAAAATCCTCTTTGCTTCATTTCTAAAAGTGCAGCTATTTAAATCAAATATCTATCTTAATTTTCTAACAAAGGGAAGAAAACAACCTCGCCTAACCTTGCCTTTCAATAAACATGCCTGTGTTTTACAAAGCCTTCATTGAACAAAAATGCGTCTAGTCCCAGACACTATAGTTGCCTAAAAGCCATCTTGCTTCCTTAAAAATAGGTAACTGGTTAACAGTCGCTTAAAATTCCTTATTACATGCCCATTTTGAAACATGCAGGAGCAAGCTAAAATTGTAACTGAATACAGAATCAAACAAGGACAGGCTTAGTATTGCAGCACTAATACACTATTTCAAAGACTTTAGTACTTCTGTGATGCAGCAGCCTTCCTATATTCAAAGAAGAGAATGGCAATGTACCATGATTTGTCCCCTGGTCTCTCAATGTGGTATTAGCAGCTTAGTAGCCTTGAGAAAAGCTAAACACACTGATTGAAGGCAAGTCCTTCCCTCCGATGAAACCAGCATTCACAGAACTTCCAGCGTTCAGAAAAATGCATGAGCCAGAAGTGTGGTATCTTCACAGCTTCTCCAAGCCAGCCTTTGCACATGATAGTACAGAACACGGAACTATTTTATAAAAGCTAAATTACTGCAAAACACAAAAAAAGTGCCAGCTTCAACAAGAAGAAAAACGTTCATTTATCTTAAGTTTCTGGTCCCTCTTAAGGGGTCTGCCCCTTTAGCTTCCTGCTTAAAAACAAAGAACAAGAGAATTATAGGAGCAGGGACAAACACAGCACAATGCTAGTTCAGGATAGCACATTCTCTCTGTCTTTTGCATGAATTTTATTATCCAATCATACAGGTCACAAAAAAGCTGCTGCACGCTCTAGCCCAGCTGTAAAGGGAGTATCCCTGAGGCATCTACCCAGAGACAGACAACCTGCAGGCAGCCCTAAGGCACACACTCCAGCTCTTTGCAGATCCAAAAGCATCGCACTTTGCCAGATGAGGGCCGGGTGTTTGGAGGATTCGTGCAGAACACAGCTGGTCAGAGGTGTGATCTTTCCCTCAAGAGGAAATTCTGAGGGAAATAGTTTCTAAACTGTTCTAAACTTTGTCATCTGGTGAAACTTGAGACACCAACTGCACTGCTTCCTGGCTGCACGGCAAGAACCAGGCAACAGAAGGTGATATATCAGAGGTAACAGAAAGTTAGAGGTAGCAACAGAAATAACTCCAGCCATTGCCAGCCAGGGATTTCTTTTCCATGAGAAAGTAAAAACCAAATCAGTCAGTAGTGACAAAATGCTGGTTAACAGGCTGTGGCAGATGACTGATCACCAGGCGCCCACCAAAGCTGCTCCATTGCTCTCCTTAGGGGTACAGGGGAAAGAAAATATAATGAAAGGCTCATGGGTCGAGAAAAGGATAGGGAGAGACCACTCACCAGTTTCTGTCATGGGCAAAACAGACTTGACTTGAAGAAATAAGTTTATTACCAATAATATCAGCATAGGATAATGAGAAATAAAACGAAATTTTAAAAACACCTTCCCCTCTCTTCTCCCTGGGCTTAACATCACTCCTGATTTTCTCTGCCTCTACCCTCCAGCAGCACAGGGGGACAGGGAATGGGGTTGTGGTCAGTTTATCACACATCCCTGCTGCTCTTTCTTCTTGAGGAGTGGGACACCTCACACTCTTCCCCTGCTCCAGCATGGGATCCCTCCACAGCCGACAGTCCTCCATGAACTTCCCCAGTGGCAGTCCTTGCCACAGGCTGCAGTTCTTCATGAACTGCTGAAGCATGGGCTCCTCTCTCCACAGGGCCACAGGTCCTGCCAGGAGTCTGCTCTAGGTCTTCACAAGGTCAGAGCCTTCTTTGTGCATCCCCCTGCTCTGGTGTGGGGTTCTCCATGGGCTGCAGGTGGACACCCGCTCCCTCATGGAACTCCATATGCTGTAGGGACACAGCAGCCTCACTATGGTTTGCACCATGGGCTGCAGGGGAATCTGCTCTGGCACCTGGAGCACCTCCTGCTCTCCTTCTGCACTGACCCTGATGTTTGCAGGGCTGCTTCTCACATATTTTCACACTGCTTTTCAGATGCATTTCTTCCTGCCCAATAACTTTTTCCCTTTCATAAATCTGTTACTCCAGAAGTGCTACAA